CAGTCAGGCAGTGTGTTTGTGCAAGAAAGCACAGGAGTGTGAGAAGGGAGAGGGCACGGGGGCGTGGAGAGCACCTTAGCACTCAGCCCAGCAAAGATGGGGGCTGAAACATTCTCAAGTGTTAGCAGACTTTGCTGGGTACACATAGCATGTGCCAAGGTTCTGCAATGGGTATGAGTTTCGCTCACTGGCAGATGAAAGAACAATGGTCCATGAATGGTCCACAATAAAAAGTTATTGGCTCACTGAGATGGGCAGGGGACAGATGCTTTAGGTGAACCCCTGCATCAAAAATGTTCCTGGGTTTTTATTTAAAAATGCAGACTCCAGCACTCACACTCATTGCCAACTCATAGCAACCCCGTAGGACAAAGTAGATCTGTCCCATAGGGCTTCCAAGCCAGACCTGGCTCAGAATTTCGGGTGGGGAGTTAGCCTGAGAACCTGTTCTGGAACCACCTTCCCAGATGATTCTCCTGCACACTCAGATGGGAGACCTACGGTGCAGGGTGTTGTGGGTTCTGTTGTTGTTAAATGCCGTTGAGTCAGTTCTGACTCATCGCAACCCTATATAGGGTATCCAAGGAATGGATGCTGGGTTTGAACCGCCGACCTTGTGATTAGCAGTCCGGTGCTTATCCTACAGCACCACACCAGGACTCCCTGGGGTGGTGTAAATCTTATTGTAAATGATGGACAGGAAGTGATGAGGTGGACATCCTGCAGTCATGCTTTTTAATTACCGAGTCAGTTTCCAACTTACGTCAACCCTGTACAGGGCTTCCGAGGAGCAACTGGTGGGTTTGACACTGACTTTGTGGTTAGCAGTCCATTGCTTATAGCCTACAGCATTATACCAGGACCCACAGTCAAGCTTAGGAGGTAGGTATTATGGTCATTCCATTTTGCGGGTGAGGAAACTCAAGAGGTTATTAGCTAATTAAAGGTTACAGAAAGCTAGGCAGTGGCAGAGTCTGGACTGGCAGGTCTGAGATGAAGCCAAGGAGGCAAGTCTAGTATAAGAGTGTAGGGTACCTGTTACATGCAGCTCTCAACTTTTATACTTGGAAATTTTCATAATAGAAAGTTAAAGAATGTAACCAGGACTAAACCCAAAGCTTAAGCTTAAGCTTGTCTTCAGTATGCCATGCTGTCTCACTAACCTGAGTGACGTCAAGTCAGTCACTGTCCCCTGTGGTCCTGGCTTCTCCCATTCAGATGATGAGGTTGGATTCAACTATTTAGATGCTTTCCCGAACATTTCATGATTCTGCTGTTGTAATGTGTGCATTTACCTTACAGCGACACCAAGAGCCAGAGCTACTACTTGGCTGGCCACCAGAGAGGCCCTGATGGTTTTCTGGTAATGGGCAGCCTGCAGTCAGGGGTGGTTTCTTCTTGAACCTCTAGAAACATTAACCTCTAAAGCTGCTTGGCCAAATTGCAGCTGCCGGGTCAAAATTGTTGGAAGTCCTTTACCCCTTGGGGACAAACTGCTCTCTGAAGGCCCCACCTTCTTCTGCCAAGGCTTTGGGTGGGCCTAGAAAAGCTGCCTGACGACACTGAATCAGCACATTCAGCAGGGCCAAGCTCACAGATGGAGGCACCCGAAAGAGGGCCCTGCTTGAGAAGAAACCTCGAGCTGAGGCCGCTTCAGTCTCAGGGAAGAGAATTCTCCAAGAAGTGAATCAGATTCCACAAAGTGGTTATAAAGATTGGCGGGAAAATGATATACGATGGGATCAATGTGAAGCTGATGTCCTCCCATCCATAATTCACAATAAAGCATTAAGAAAAAAAAAAAAAAAGATTGGCGTGAATCACATCCCCACGCGCACATGAGGGGTTTCCTCTCTTGAAGTGCTAGAGTTCAGATGAGAGGCAAAAACAAAACACAAAACAAACGTGCTACATCTCTGGACATCATCATCCCTGGAAGTTCAGATCTGGGGTTCAAAAGCTGTAAAATGGATTACGTGAAGACAGGCTCTTTGGGGGACATCTCGTAACTACTGAAGTTTTGTTAGCAAGGACAACGGGTTTCTTCCAAAATGAGTACATTGGAGCTTGTCAGATCCCTGGGCGGAGGGCTCATGACTCTCACCAGTGTGATATTTACGTGCAATAAAAACAAACATCTCTTCCATTAGCAGGATCAAGCCGTTGTCTGAATCCTTCAGAGTAAAACCAGAGTGCTGGGTTAGCCCCTGTAAGCACAGGGTTTCTTTAGTCGCCTCTGAATGGCTTCTTCTCATCTCTGAAAACCACATTCACTGCCACCAGGCTGAATCCAACTCAAAGCAACCCTGTAGGACAGAGTAGAACTGCCTCGGAGGCATTCCAACATTGTCATCTTGACGGAAGCCAACCACCAGTTTTCTCCCCTGTGGGTTTGAAATACTATAACCTTTAGAGTAGCAGCCCAGCGCTTGACCACTGTGCCACCAGAGCTCCTCTTCTCATCTCAGAGGGCAAATCTATGGACAATTCCTGCACCTGCTCTTTCCCTAAGATGGGCCAGAAATGAAAGCAGAGGTGTAGCTGGTAGGGACCCAAGGCCAGAAGCCTCCCTCCTCAGTTTGCACTCAACAAGACCACACTTTCAACACAACATATATTTATTCAGAAACAAATTTGCAATAAATTATAATAAAAAAGATGACACAAAATACAGAATCCCACTAGCAGCTTTGCTTAGTGACCAAGACATTTGGGAGAAATAGACCAGTTACAGTGATGGGAAAGGATCTGAATCATTTCATCCCTAAAAGCAATCGATGCAGAGTTCTTCTCGGCCAGTGGCACCGGAAATCCTACACACGAGGAGCTATGACACTGTTCAGGGGAGGTACTTAGGGAGCACAGGTTGGGGTCCTGGAATAGGCACAGTAGGGAAGCAGACCCCAAGTCTGGTCTAGTTCTTGGACCCCCCCCCCCCACCTGGAGATTGTCGAAAACCCTCAGCCCTACAGATAGCCCCTGACCAGAGCTGGGAAGAAGGTGGGAGTAAAGCAACGTAGCACTTTTAGTGTACAGAGAAGTGGGCCAGTCTCACACGTGCTGATTACCATCCCCACGAGGAGTTCCATGTCGGGACGTTCAAAGACTCCAAGTTGGCAGCCTACTAGTAAGCACGGCTAGGAGAGGCATTTCCCTGTCTTTGTGTCACTACCTTGAGCCAGCACCACCTGCCTCTCCTAGGGTCACTTTCTGGCCAAGTGGAGTTGACAAAATTCTCCTGATCTCAGTCTTCCATGAACTCCATGAACGTCCATGAACTCACCAGACCCTCAGCTATCTGGCATCAATAATAACTCTTACTGCCCTAATTCCCAATAGGAAAGAGTTCCCACCAGTATTTTGCAAGATATGTACCTTATTTTTCCCAAAGAACCCCCAGAAGATGGAAGAGTCGCCTCTCTCCTTAGACAAGTCACAAAGTCAGTGCCTACGCCCATACCCAGAGTCTGGATGTTACACTCCTCAGATTTCGCAGTAACAGGCAAGACTGAGTTGACTCAGGGTGGTCTCAGTGAAAGCAACTTGGGAGGAAGCCAATTTTATCAGGCAGTTTTGCAGTCTGAGGCTGGTGGCTTGTTTACCAGCCAACACAGATTTAAAAAAAGAAAAAAAAGATTTTATTAAAGGCTGCTCCCCCGAGCTTGAACATATGAAAAGCTCAGAGGGTTGTCTCAGGTGGGAGAGCTAAGGTGCTTGGTTGGTCCCATTGTCCACAGTCCGTTTACACAGCACTGGACAAGGTGGCTGTGGGGGCCCTGTGGACCCTGGAAATCATCTTCTTGCAGGAGTTGGCTAGAGAGCCCAGAATTGACTCTGCTGAGGGAGGGGGCTGCCTCTGCCCATGGGACTTCATGAGACCAGAGAGGAAGCCTTAATACCCCTCCGGAGAGGCCAGCGTGAACCTCTGTTGTTGTTTACTCGGGTGCAAGTGTTGCTCTCTCTGGAGGTGGGTTTCCACGTAGGAGTGGGCTCCATGGACGCCCGGAATTTGTCCTGACTATTGGTGCTGTGGGTTAATGGGCCAGACTGCAAAGCCGTTTGAACTGCAAGGTTGATGGTTCAAGCTCACCAGCTGCTCCTCGGAAACCCTATACAGGGTCGCTATGGGTCAGAATTGACTAGTCTTCTCCTGAGGCCTCCACCCAACCTTGATGGCACTTAACACCAACAACATCATCCCAGAATAAAGGGAAAGGGCTAGAAGGAAGCAGGAACTGCCAAATGAAAATACTCTCACTCTTGAAATACTTTAAATCTTTCCATTTGGATTGTGATTCTCTCCCATTGATGGGCTGTTCTCTTCAATAGTCCCTACAGTTTTGCCATTGAATTTGATCTATGACAAGAAAAAAGGACTTCCACCACCCAGTGCAGACCAATGAAAGGCCAATGTTAGGGAGCCATGAAGACACCATTGTAATAAGAATGCAGAACGTCCAGAGCCACACAGACACGGGTAACTTGCTGTGGACAACACCCAAACAGCCACCACCTAACCCAGACTTCCTTCAGTGACAGGACTGGCGGGGTGGAGTGCGAATGAGTGAGGCACGATGGGTGGCCTAAAGTGCTCCAGGTGAGTGACAGCACGTTGTTGTGCTCGTGAGCCTAGAGTAGGGACATTTCAAAGCCTAGACCTAGGCTGCTAAGGACAATGACAGCAACAAACACATCCCTAGGTCAAAGAGTGTAGATACAGATCTCTCTGCCTTCTAAGGAGAAAACACAAAAACACCAAAATAGGGTAACTTTGGCTTGGCAATAGAAGTCTAAAAGTATTCTGCTGTGGAGGGTGTGGTAAGAGGAGGACTTAGGAAACCTGCTTCTTTTTGCATCATAGACAAAACGTGTTTATGCCAACAACCCGGAACCTCTGCAATAGAGCTTTTGTGTGGCATGACTTTTCAGACCATTCAGAAACACCTGGAACCCAAGTTCTTTCACCTCTGAAATCCTGGCGAACTTGAAGAGGAAGAGAATTAGTCTTCATCGGTCCCCAGCAGGAAAACCAGAAGGAACTGGATAGCGCGCTGGCGGTCAGTTGGAGTCTGTCTTGCCAGGAGGTTGGGTGGAGGCCTCAGGAGAAGACTAGTGAAGAGGGTAGCTTGAGGGCGAGAGAAAGAAAAGGGAAAAACCCTTCATCAGACAACATCCTAGAGCTGGGGGCTTGGGGGTCAGGTGATGAGGATAGGAGGAGGGAAACAATTACGTTCTGTGAAGTTCCTGGGTGGTATACACAGTTAATGTGCTTGCTGCTAACCAAAAGGTTGGGGCTTGGAGTCCACCCAGAGAAAGGCCTGGGATCTGCATCTGAAAAAGCAGCCACTCAAAATCCCATGGGGTGTCAAGTTCTACTCTGATATAGCAAGTCACCGGGAGTTGGCGCCCACACGACAGCAACGGGTACATTATGTAGGTTATGCACTGGACGCACTGTACACAGGCTAACAGCCGTCACCAAGGAGCACCCTTACCGATCATGTTGGCACTGACATTGTTGTACTCAGAGAATTTTAAGAGTTCTCGAAGGAAAGCCATCAAGTAGCGGAAAACATTTCTATGGCATCTTGGAAGCTGTGAAATCACCTGTTTGAAGAAAAAGTGGTGGGAAGTGGGAAAAGGGAAGAGAGGAGTCAGATGAACACAGCGCTTCCATGAAATCAGCTGACCCTTGAATGGTTAAAGAGTTCTGTGTGTGTCAGATCCCCCATCGTCTACCCCACCTGCCAAACGATCACCCCCAAGTCTGAATGGTCCCATTCAGCCACTCATCAAGTCCTGCAGTCAGTCATCACTCATTGGCACGCACACCCTGCCTCACAAGTAGGGCTGTGTCAATAGGCCCTTTTCAAATGGAATGGTTTTCTCTACAACGTCACATTCTGAGTCCGAGGCATTCTCACTGTACGTCAACGTGACTTCAGGCAGATTAGAAACGGAGACCAAAAAGGAACAAGAGCAGCAAGACTCTCGAGTGCTACCAGCCATCCTGGTAATGGCAGTCAGAATCCCATGGCCAGCCAGCGGCACCAGTCTTACCTAGGCACCAGGGTAAATGGAGCGGCCACCTGGGAATAGGTAGCAAAGCTAATAGCAAACAGTTGCTGAACCTCAGATGGAAGGGTCTCAACTCTCAGCACTGGTGTCCAGTCCTGACAATAGATCCAGACCCATCCCACCACCTAGCTGGCAGCGTAGTTGGCTTTTGTAAACATAATGATTCCTACCAGAGACAGCATCAAATGGGAGGGAGGCTGAATAAAACCCACCTGCCGGCAGATCCGGGGATCATGGGCAGAGTCGAGGCATCGCTGATAGAGCTCGTAACAGATGACTGGCTCCGGGAGAGCTTCCAGGAAAATGAGCAGTGCTTCCGCCACGGAATGGTTACTACCAGCTGGGCCAGCGGGAGTCAGGGGAAAAGGTGGCAGTGACGAAGCTCCCTTCCTCCCACTCCCTCAGGGCACACTGATGCCACCTGCGCTCTGATATTTGACTGGCCCAGGCACCTGCAGCTGAGCTGGGGCACACTGGATCAGAGACTCTTAGGAGGTTTGGCCCAGTTTCAGAATCAGCAGAGTACAAGGGGGCTTTCAAAAACCCATAGAAAAATCCCCTTATCGCTGAGTTCCATTTCTCCCATGAACTTTTGGAAGCCCCCTCGTCTAGTCTAGAGTGATCATTCTCCATCCTTGGTCCTGTCCTAGTGGTAGTGCAGGTGGTGGCAGGAGGGACCAGGCCCTGGAGGGAGGAGAGCAGCAATGCTGTGGGTCATGTGTTCCACTCCTATTAAAAGACTCCGGTACCTCTTCTGGATCGCTTTCACTAAGAGCCTGATGCTGAGAGAAGTTAAAGCCCCAGAAAGGAACTGAGAACAGCCATAGAGTTGATAGTTACCTTGTAATAAGAATGACCGAACAAAGAAAATAAAGAGAAGGAATATCGAATGTTAAGTGGGCAGAAGTGTTTGCACAAGTACTCATTGAACTTCCTGAGCCTTTGTCGGGAAGGATACGGATTGTCTCTGGAATGCTGGTATCCAGACAATCGATGATCTGCTGTAACTCCTCCTGCATTCCAGGGGTTTGGAACAGGTCCTCCTATCAAAGAAGTCAAAAGGAAGCAAACAAGTAACGCTCAAAGTTCTGAAGATCACCCTAAAGTCTGTAGAGCAACAAGGAAGTACACAGGAAGGGTGGTATGCATATTAATAATTAGGAATGTTGTTGTTGTTATGTGCCGTGGAGTCGGTTCCGACTCATAGCACCCTGTACAGGGTTTCCGAGGCTGTAAATCTTTACGGGAACAGAACGCCTCATCTTTCTCCCACCGAACAGCTGGTAGTTTCAAGCTGTTGACCTTGCGGTTCGCAGCCCAACTTGTAACCACTACGCTACCAGAGCTCTGGAGGGGTCAAAAACAGTGCCTTTACCCTGTATCATTTCTATAACCTGTACAAAATTTGAGTTCAAATAAAATCTGCTTCAAGGGTTTTAGCCTCAAGCAGTTCCGACAGGGGAAGTGATCACCCTAGCCCTAGCCTCTCCACGAGAACCAGAAAGCATCCCTGACTCAGGCACAGAACTCTCTCAGGCCTCACCACTTCACATTGTGAGATCGTAGGTGACTCACTGAGCTTGCTCACTTCCACGTGCACACACATCAATAGGTCATCTGACAGCGCTGTTCTGGGCAGTAGCTCAGTGGTCCGGATACTCACATATCTGCTAAACCTGTAGGGAAGGCCTCTGCTCGCTTACCTGGTGGCAGGCATATCTGAATAAGTGATCGACTAGAAGCCAGATCTCTTTGGGGACTTGAAGGGGTCTCTCACTGGCACCATCTTCCAATGGAACCATCTGCAGAAGAGATTTCTCCTAACAGACAAAAAAGAACGATTATCAAATATGTTTCAGAACAAAGTCTTGTGTGTGTAACTTAATCTTCAAATGCTGCTTCATGTAGGTACAATTTGATCTTCATCTCAAGAATTTCCTTTTTCCTCACTTGGGGGCAGCCCTAGTCAGCAGATACTCCACACTGATTTCCATGGTAAAAGGATCTCCTTCCTATAATGCTTGGTTTCTCATGACGCAATCTGTGCTAGACATTCAGAGGTGACGGCGAGAACCGGTACTCTAGTGAGAGTATGGCCCACACCTCCCTAGGGACCAGGAAACACAATGGTCAACACACCAGTGTCTACACTTAGTTTTACTGACTTTGACTTCATTCAGGATCTCACCCTAAACTATTTCCCTTCTTGATTTAAATGCGGTTCTTTTGGCTAAAGACAACTCTCCATATTAGATCCATTGGGGTAGTTCAGGTTCAATAGAAGTTCCAAATTTAAGCTACTAAAACTCTCACACTGTAAGAATCAAAAATAATGAACTGAATAAAGCACGCCACGTCTAGGGCCTGAATTCATATTAATAGCTCAGCAAAAATTCCTAAGGCCTCTCAACCCTGTCCACCCATCTTTCCACTTTCTGTTAGGTTCTTATGAAAAAAGACTAAGAGAAAAGCCACAAGTGGCACAAAGCCGAACAATCACTAAAGTTGAATTTGTAAAGGACTGGGGAGAAAACACAATTGTTTATCCACTGCTAAACCCACTGCCAGCGACTCCAGTCCAACTCCTAGTGACCCCTATAGGACAGAGTGGAACTGGTCATAGGGATTGTAAGGAAGCAGATAGCCACATCATTTCTCATGAGCAGCTCCTGGGGTCACACTGCTGAGCTTTGGGTTAGCAGCCAAGTGCTTTAACCACTGCACTACCAGAGATCCTTCATGCTTACGGAGTCTAAAATAAACAAGGTGTTTGAAACAAGTTAAAAGGCAGCCGTCAGAAAAACCCTCGTGGAGAAAACTATGAACATTTTTTGTATCTTCCACCCACCCCCCTCACTCCCGTCCAGCTTAAAATCCTGTATTATGAAGGGGCTTCCAAAAGTTCATGAAAGAATTCCAGTTATCATTTAGTTCCATCTTCCCACGAACTTTCGGAAGCCCCCTCATATGTATGCTCAAATCCAGGCAATCCCTGCACACCACTGGACAATCGGTCAATTCCATCTGAAAGTCCCACCCACATAGCTTTTTGTAAAAGAACATCAGCATTTCATTAATGTAGCCTATAGCAAAACCAGGGTTTCTTGTGATCACTGTGTTCTTCAAGTGGCACCGATGACCTCTGATACCCTGTGGTACTTTTTTGAAGGGAAAAAGAAGGAAACGGTAGCATGCAAGCTGGCTACCTAGTAAAATCTTTGAAATTCGTGTTGCTTCCTTCCTTTCTTTCCCCTGAGATTCAATCACCTGATATTCATCTTCCCTATTAGTGGTTCATCTGCTCGCTTCTCACTGGATGCAAACATTAAGCCCAGGCATCCACATGATGTTTGAGCACCAACACTGTCCTCTGTGCACCCAGTAACTTTCTGGATCCAAGTACAACATCTCAGGCTGATGCCTCCAAACCTACCGCCTAGAAATTATTCAGCACTGATTCAGGTCCTCTGACCAAATCTGACTAAAGCATGAAGACAATACAAGGCACAGTCCAAGATGAAGCGAGAACACGGCCTGCTATTAACAGGAAGGGCTGGGAAACAGAGTTGTCTCAAATCAGTGGTTTAGAAAGGTTAATGAAATGTCAGTAGGTTAGCTGGCCCAGCCACTCTCCATCTGTAATTTCACGTGTGGGAATAGGAAATAGCATACTTGTGTCTCTGAAGTCTAGAGAAAGATCATGCACATGAGAGAAGGCTTTTAAAAGAAAGGGTGTTTTTTTCCCACAGAATAAACCTGAACTCTAATTTTCAAAGGGAAACCAGGGGCACTTTGTCTTTGTCTTCTCTTGACAAAACACATTCCGCATCTGATACGCTCACACTTTGCAAGTGTAGTGCTAATAATAAGTAAGGCCCAAAGACAGTGCACCATCCCCTTCACCGAATGGGGAGGTCACAGTAGATACTGTAAGAACATGCTTTAAGACTTTCTTGTCAGGCCCATATTTGTCTGCTGGATAGTCCTGGGTGGAGGCAGGGAGCTCTCTTCCAGGCCGCCAATGGTGAGGCCATGAGACCATGCGTGAGGCACCTCACCAGGCAGGCTGAGTCCAGGCTCCAATACCGTTCACCACACATGCCAACTATCAGGAGTGGTAGGACTTTAGCACGCTTCTCAAGCTCCCTGGGCCTCAGGTGCCCAGTCTATCACAATGGGGAAGTTATCTTGGCCTGTCTGAAGGCAGAGAGCTGGACCAGCCCTGTTCAGCTCCACAATCTTATTCTGTGCCCTCTTTCTCAACCGTTTCTGTGTGTTCTCTAATCTGTCACTATGGTTACTAATTACAAGGCACTCTTCATGCTACAGACAGCTACTTCTGAGTTGACCATCATTGGAAATGGGGGACAGCTAAGCAGTACCCCCCGCCATTTCATGAGCTTGATCCATGCAGGAAACGTCTTTCCTATACTC